TACACTTGTATTCGCATAGATAAGTAATTGTAATTTTACATGATTTCGATTGAATGAACGTCGAATCAATGAAATATTTAGTTAACTGGGGCAACTTGTAAAGTTAAAGAAGTTAAAGAAAAATTTGTGATAGTATAAATGTCAAGCTTATTTAATTTCTTCGATTTTCTTATTGCTTTATAAATATTTAAATTCATTTAAATTTATTCATTTGCTCATTCCCTTTTCAAAGATGCGTTAGACAAATTATAATTGCAGTTTTTTTTTTAAAATAAATTAGTTTTGTTGTGTTCATAATTTGTATATTTATAAAAATATATATTCAATTTTTGTTGAAAATTCATTTATTCCATTTATAATTATTTGAAATTCTATTAAATTGGATATTGTATATTGTATGATGTATTGTATGTACACACACAATTTTGTGTATTGTATATCTATTTATCGATATTATAATAATATGTTAATTATTCGAACTTGATTAAAGGATAAATTCTTTTGGACAATAAAGAGTTCAACAAATCACGAAGCAAATAAAAATAAAATTATTTTCAAATATGGATTTATTTATTACATAAAAGAATAGGGAGATTAGTTATATAAAAAATGAATTAATTGCTATTAGTTCATCTATATATAATCATCTTGTGGATAATAGGTCATTTGAATAATCAAATTTCGATATATCGATGTTCTATTGTATTTGATGGTGACAAACAATAAAGGAAATAAATCGATACGCTTTTCGAAATGAAACGATTATAATATCGTAATAATAATAATATTTTATTTGCAATTTCGTTAAATCTTTGATAAAAATGTTTAAAAAAATATTATATTTATATTATTAATATTTGAATTTTAAATTTTTTATTTTCGTATTAATCAACTTGTTATCGTATTTCTTAATGTCGTATTCTTTATTAAAATTGATGAAGTATTTTTTTATTTTAATTACCAATATATTTTAAACTACAGACTCGTTTCCTATTATTTTACAAAAATAAGAAATAAATATTTTTTTACAAGTTGAAGAAATAAAATTATATTTACTATTGACTAATCATGGATTCGAAGATTTCTCGAAATTTAAAATTTGATATAATATTTTATAGCTCATAATAAAATAATAAGTAAATACAACACAGTATGAAGTGAAAGAAGAAGATGAGCTTATCGATTAACTGCTGCCCCACGAATTGAGGTCGAAATATGTATGTCGTTAAGGACGACATTTTGAGCAATTTTTATTTTTATGCATCTGATAATCGACCTTAATTTTCCAATTATATGTTTTTAATTATTCTGCATGTATTTTTTGAAAACAAGCAAAATCCTATACAAGATAATTTTAATTGACAATCATTGGAAACAGAATATATCTGTTTTTATTAATTTTATTACTTTATATATATTTTTTAAAGAAAGGAGAAGAAAGAAAGAAAAATTGGAAAGAAGAGAGAGAAATCTAATTCTACGTTTAAAAAAAATAACGATACATATTGTTACACAATATCTGATTATATAATATTTAAATCATAAAGGATCAAATTAATACAAAAATTCATTAAAAAGAAAAAAATGAAAATTCGAGTTTTAAGATTTCAAATGTTTCTGATTTTGAATTTCATGAAATTAAGAGTCTATCTTCAATACACAAATACTCTCAATAAATAAAACAATCTATAAATTTAAAGAAACGATTTATTATTGTTATAACGTAGTAAAAAAATTGTAAAATTCTCTGCTACACGTATTTATTTTAATTAATTTATATAAATATTGTCCTTCGATGATCATTATACTCACTTACGTTTCAATATTTTCCATAATATAAAAAATATCTCTTATTGCATAAAAACTTGAAATAATAAATAGTTAAACATTATAATTTGCCTTATGCAAACAAATGCGCAAAAGGAAATATTCAACTCGTTACATATTTAAAATGGGACGGTTACGATATACAATTGAATATAATAACGGCGACAAATTCATGCATATACAAGATTTTAATATAGTCGCAGAACATTTAGTCGGAGAAAATTAATTCTCTCAAAATAAAAGTTCACTTATATTTATATCTTTATTATTTATCATTAAATTGAATAAGTTAATCGAAGGAAGAAATCGTTTTGTCTTTGTCACACTATCCTTGTACTCTGTTTTCGTCTCGCTTCATCTAACTTAAATTAAACCTGTAATTCAATAAATAAGTCTCAACCGATATTTTTGCACACCAAAAATTTTGTGCTTATTTCGAGCTCTAGAATGAGATCTTCCAATGATATTTCCATGATTATATTAATATCTTGTATATATACAATTATTAGTGTAGTAAGTTTTTTTTATTGAGAATTATAAATAAATTCATTTATATATAATTTAATATGTATAACTAATCTAGAGATCGATCTCGTTCCATATTTGCAGAATTTAGAATGATCTAACATTGCAACGAAATACATATGTACGTTATGTTTCTATTTGCTTATGTGTATTACATTCGTGCTCGTTTAAATGTTTTGAAATCGTCGCGTCCTTTTCATTCGAGGACACGAGTTCATTCGAGAACGAGTTTCCATTTACGTACTTCTTTAACCGTCTTTTTTCTTTTTCTTTCTTTCTTTCTTTTTTTATCTTTTCTCCCATGTAACGTGTTCCTTTTTTTATTCTCAATTATAAAAAGTAGACCACGTTCCAACGTTTTTCCCGCGTGATTTTCTTTAATTATTTTATAATTCAAGAAAGAAATACAAGAAAGAATTGAAAAATTCAAATTTTTCTTTTATCACTAATAAATTTTCAATTTTATTCAGAATTTATTTAACGATTAAAGATATCGTTACAGAAGCCAGTTTAAAACTTGAACAATAAATTGAAATCAATTGTTTTACTATGAAACAACAAATTGTGTACGTTTCAAATTAGAGGAAAGAGATTTATTATAAATAAATCAATAAATATCACGAGCTTTATCTCACTCGTTCACTTTTATGTCTGAGGACTTTGCGGCCTCCTAAGGGTTCATGGATCAAAGATTAAGAGCCGTTGATTTATTACATATTTGCAAGAAGTCGAAAAAATTCGAAATTGTTGAAGATATCCGAGAAGAAACTCGAGTGCAAATTGAGGGATTCGATGCGAGAGGAAACTGTGTTACAGAAACAAAATTCTTGTCTTAATAATAATAATAATAATAATAATTTCTATTATGAATGTAATTTTTATTATTGGTTTCTCGAAAAAAACAAGTTATAAATATGAATAATGAAATATTAATACTTTTTTTTTTATGTAAAAAATATTAAAAACATTGAATATTAATTTATAAATTTGAATAATAAAAATAGTAAAAATGAATTGATAAGAAGTTACTTAACTTAATAATCTTGAAAATAATATTTGCTATTATTTCATATGATATGGAAATAATCGTTTTCCTCGCGTATTTTAATTTCTGCAAGAAAGATTCCCTATATAGGGAATTTTTGCTTATTATTCGTAATTGTTACTCATACAGTTTTTATAAAATTGAAAGATATAATGCAAGCATGACATAATACAAGAAACTCAAATATAGATTAAAAGAGAAAGAAAATATAAAAATTCAGATTTAAACTACGTCATTTTTAATTGAGTTTTTTTTAAAAAATTATTATTTATAAGAATAATTCAATTTTCATATCTAAACGTACAGAAAATAAAATATTTCCTGGGATACATTATCTCCATTATTATTAATAAATTTACATTCTTCGATTTTAATCTCCATTGAAACTAATATTCAAAAAACTTTCAATATCTCTTAACGCTATCATTGTGAATCCCTTTTGCACTAAATCCATACGTAATCATACGTAATATTCAACAATACAATATTTAATTATTTTAATAAACGCGATATACTCGAGGTGAGATGAATTTTATCCTGAATAAATTTCATTTTCGTCAAGAGCAGATTTATATCGAAAATGTTTTCGACATTAGAGCGATACTTTGTTCGCGATATTGTCCAATAAGTTTGGCGTAAGCATATACGTTTTAAAGATCGATCGATTTTCGACTTGGACCTGGTCCAAATTTAAGGTACTGTGAAATCGCCGCTGCCGCCATACTTAGAATGCACCTTTTACATTTTATAAAGTGGATTTTATCCGAAATATTTTATAAATTGCAATCGATGATAGAATGAAGCAAGCTTTTTCAATTTAATCTTTCAAGAATTTGAGATCGTTTAGATGATGAGAATGGAAGAAATACAAGTGGTTGTTTCAACTTTTGTATTCAGTTTAGATAATTGGATAAAAAGTTCTAAGATTATAATTAAATAGTTAACAATTATTGAACAATATTGTTATTTTTTTCCACGTCGTTCGTTTAATATTAATACACAACTATTCGTACAATCGTTTAGAAATATTGTTAAAATTTACTAAATTAAAGTTTAAACAAAATTGTATATAAGGAAATTAACTTTTATATATAATTAACTAAATTTTTCATAATTCTAGTTTTTATCTCTTTTTTTTTTTATAATGAAATTAATTTTCAGAATTTGATATTTTAATATTTTTAAGAAAAATAATAATCTTCGTTTATAATAAACATTATATTCGCTTTATGGTTGTGCCTTTATTTAATTAGGTTAACGAAAGGGAAAAAAATTTTATCCTGTAATATAGAATTATAATAATTAGTTTCATTTTTCTTAATTATAGCTTGTCTTTCTTCGTCATTTATTATTAATTTTATTATTATTAATTTTATTATTATTAATAATTTTATTATTATTAATTTTCCATTATAACACGTTCATCGAAATATCATTGAATTTCTCCTTATTCCTTATTATTTTTCTTCGACGATATAAGTCGACATTGGTGGTTTTTATTTCTTATTAACTTATCATTAATCTACTGAATTGCATTAAATATGTTAAACAAATAAAAGGAAAAGAGAATAAAATAAATGATTTAATAACAATTTTGTTTCAGTTGCTGAAGGGACATTCGATTGATGATATCTCATCCGGTATAAATCGTAAGTTAAAATTCATCATGAATTTTATTATAATCATTTAATCAGTGATATTTTTTATATTAAAAAATCCATTACATTTTTTATTACATTTTTGACATGAAATAAAAGGGTAGTCAATTTGAAAGAAGGAATAAATATTGAGAAATTGTTCATTTGTCGATTCTCGAATATACGATACAATAATCTACTTTTGACCAGAAGATTTATTTTGTATTATTTTATAGGATAGGATAAAAGACACAAAGGATATATAAAATTGCGTATTTTTTATTTTTTTTCCTTCGAAGAATGTAACGTATCCATCGAACGCTTAATTATTTAAAAGAATTTAAAAGAATTCGCTTTAACTTGGAAAATTACTTTGCAGGAAAAAACAAAAAATATGCATTCTCGTGTATTTTATATTTTTACTAGTCTTCTACTAGTCTCATTACGTTGTACAATGTATCCATATATATTATTACCTGTGTATTTTATATTCTTACGATAGAAAGAAAATTAATTAAAAAATTAAAACAATTGTTTATTCACTTTGTAAGTATTCTTTTTTCATTTTTATATACGTATAAAGGAATCTTAATGAAGGAACATTGTCTCGTGGAATTTTTCGATATTTTTCATTTCTCAAAGAATAATTTTTATGAAAGTTTTTCATAAAAAAAGAATTATATTGACAATATTTATTCTAACCGCAAAAAACATTCAGTAAATGTTTCATTCTGTTTCTAATTTGCTCAAAGCTTAATAAAAAATCAAAATAAGAGACAATAGAAAGTTTTTCAAAAAAAAAATAATTTTTCGTAAAGCACAATGTGTTCACCAATCAATATAAGCATCAATCTCTTTCTCTCTCTCTCTTCTTTTTTTTAATAATCTAAAGCTTTGTAAAAAAATCTCTTTCAATTTGAACGAGTATTGATCATATAAAATAAACGATAAATAAATAAGATTTATAATTATCTATGCTTAAACTTCTCACGAAATGAACAGTTGGAGTAAAATTTTTCAAAAAATTCGAATCCAGAAAGAAACGTCGTATAATTTGCACACATCTTATTTCCAACAATTCGTTCTTCGCTTCCTTTATGTTCCAGTATGTCGTGCAAATAATATTTTAACAGATTAACCGGAATATTGCGTTATTAGTTCAATAAGAAGTTCTCGTTCTCATTGTTAACGCGTGTGTGCGTGATTGCCGTGACTGTACCCGCAGGATACACGTGCAATTTATGATAATGCAGCAGTTTCGCAGTAATCCTGGGTATAATTCGAGTTTTCTTGTCCGACTTTGTGCTTCGAACGTGCACAAGGAACGCAGAAATTAACATATTTTCCTTTTCTTCTTGCCTTCCCTTTAATTACCTATTGCACGGTTGATGCAGAAAAAAATACATCATTATTGGATACGTCACGTGTGAAATCACCTGTTATCACCTGTTTAACTTAGGAATTTTATCTCGTTATATCGCGCATATAACGATATATATATATACGGATAATAATGTTTATCCGGGGTGCGTTGCACTTGGTTTTTAAAACGTGATCTATGAATCCAAATTTATCTTGTTAGATGTCTAATTTATCTTTCGTTGTGTAATCACGTTGGTAGCTAAGCTGAGTGGATCGAAAATGACATTGCGGCCAAGGTCAACGAGGTAGCTATACGATATGAAACCTCGCATAGTGGTTCTTTGGAATGGAAGAGGGATATGGAGTAAGACGTGTAAAGGGTATTAACGTGTTCGTGGGAGATCGAAAGAAAGGTATCTCGCTGGTCGAGGCTTTATTTATTTGAAGAACAAAACGCAAATACTTGAAAGAATATAATTATTCTAGATAGATCGTTTTTTACATGAAATAAAGCTGGAAATGCTTTTAAAAATATGTGTTTTAAAAAATGTATTTAAAATGAAAAAACTGTGTTTTTATTAATACTTTTGGAGGGATGAAATCAACAACCAAAATTTTTAATTATTTTTTTTTTTTTTTTCAAGTACAACTTTGAGAATTTTCTTAAGTTTTGGACATTTTGAAACTTTCCTCTATCCTACGTTAATTATAAATATTTAAAGAGCTTTGATATTCTTTCAACTCGCCAAGTTTCATCAAAAAGATAAAAAAATTTGTTTCCACTTCCAATTATCGTATCATATCGATAGGAATTGATTTGAATTTGAATTTCAAAATTTGGTATTTATCGTTGCGAAAAAAAAAAAAAAGAAACAAAAATTAACAACAAATTTAAAATTATTAAAATTTTTGGATTCCTTGTAAGAGGATAACTTTTGTTCCTCGCTGTACTTATAACCTATAAGTTGTAATCCTTCTTTGTGTCACTAATAACATTACAGGTAAGCAGCTAATACGACATTAAATACGAGGAGATAAAAAGAGACAATGGAAATCAATCTATGCGGCTCAAATGTCACGTTGTAACGCGACGATTTCACGCGACGATTGATATTAATTTTTTCTATCCTTCGTTCACGGTCGTTGTTTCCATGTCGAGCGAGAAGCTCGAAGATTATTAATTAAAAAAGAAAAGAAAAAGCGAATGATTTAGATAATAGATATAAATCGTCGATACAATTTTTACTTTGTATTTACATATACCACATATTTATTTACCACGAGTTATACACGCAATCTATTTTTATCGATGACAAAAGTATGACCAAAAGTAATTTTCTTCTTCTAATTGTTTTTCTCGAAATTACGGTTAATACGATCGATTTAATTAATTTGCGATGTTATCAAGTTTAAATGTTTAGTTAATGTAAACGTCTTGGAAATGTTAATGATGAAAATTACGATAAATTACTGTCTTGCGAAGGAACGTGTGTTTAACTTGTTATCTCGTTACCTTGAAAATATTACATCAATATGCAATTAATTGATTAAATGTTAAAGGTCATGGTGTTGAACATGTATGCATCCAAGATTAAACACACGTGTGTGTAATTAGTGTAATTCGTGTTTCACTCTCTGTGTATCGTGTAATTTTATAGTATAACGAATTTGGGATACAATCTGTTCCAGATTTGATCTTCGAATTGTTTCGAATTAAATTTCTTTGAACGGATTGTCAATCCAGACTTTCCAAAATTTACACAAATTGAATTATACGAATATTTTAATTGATCCTTTTTTAAAGGATCACAAGTTAATAATGAAACAATTTCAAGATTATTTAGTTCTTTAATATTATTTTATAAGAAATATTTTATTTAATTATTTAATAATAATTATTACCACGATAAGGTTTAATTGAGGGAAAAAGAAAAGTTAAATCATTCCGTGATTTTTTCGCTTAAAAATTCTTCGCGTATTTCGAATTAATTTTTTAAAAACTCGATCTCGAAATATCTTTCGTAAAATTGATGTGACGATGCGTGGAAAAATTTTCTTTTCGTGTAATAAATACCATTGAAGAACACATCTTGTAGCAAGCATTATCATCAAAGTATAAACAAAAAATATATCAATTTAAAAATAACCATGATAATATCATTGCCATTGTAAATTTAAACAATTTTTACACGAATCAAATTTATTAATGTATAATCTTTAAAAATTAATCAAATTCATATTGCTCGCTTACAAATTGAAAAATTATTATTCAAATTTTATTCCACGTTAACACTTGTAATATTAATATATATGTATATGTATCACTAAGTTTCAAGTACGAGTATATATATCTTAGATAAACGTGAAACTAGGGATTTATAGTTTTCGTTCGACAAAGTCAAAGATATATATTTTTTAATATATGCATACTAATATTTGACGTTACGTGAAAACGGAATTCACCGTGTCATTGCTTGCAGAGTTAAAAAAGCAAATTTACCGAACTCGGTAGTGTATAGTTTGTTTTTTCATCCGCAACGTTCTTGTACAAACTCGACGCAAGAATAGGTTAGCTTCTGGTTTCTAAAACCACTCGCCTCGATTGTATTTTATATATATCATGTACAAAGTGTTCTTTCCTACTTTTCCAGCAAAAGTGCAAGTATTATCTTGACAGTAAATAGAATGTTAATAAGTTGGAAATATAAAAATCGAGACTTATTTAATTTCTTTTTTTTTTTTTTTTTTTTTACACAATATATAAATATATTGTGTTATTCTTCTGAATCGAATTTCGAATGAAATTTTTGGAATTTCTTGAAATAAATAATATTTTCAAATATTAGTAAAATATCTGGATTGTTTTAATTATTTGCTACGTTATTTATTCGGTCATTAAGTAATTTAAGATCGAGTTAGATGCAAGATTCATCCAATGCAAATTATAATTGTTTATAATTCGATAAATGAATCTTTGGTTCCCTCCACAAATATATTAATATCCTGTCTATTTTTTAAGAATTTTAATTTTATGTTCCGGTAAAGTTTGGATCAAGTAAGCATGAAATTATGTTTAAGTTGAGTTTCATTGAAAAAAAAAAAAAAATATAGAATTTTATGATTTATATTCTTTTTTTTTTTTTAAATATCAATAATCCAATCAATACTCAAGAATCGTACAATTTATTTGTACACAAGTTTTGTTCGTTTTCATTCGTAACTAATCGTAATTTCGCTCGTAAAAATTGTTCATACTTCTATCTACTTTTGAAAACGAAGCTTGAAAAATGCTTTTCGTATCACGATTTCGGAGATACGTTGACGAATAATAAGTAAACACGCGCCACGCTGCTAGAAAAACTGTCGAGGTTATTTCGTGGTAGCCGCGCACGACCCTGAAGGAACAAATTGCACGTCTGACCTAGCTTCGTGCCACATTTGTGTACACAACTTGCTCTAATCCGCGGCAACTCCGTTTCCTTGAGAAACTTGATGCGCAATATGCCAACCTCTTCCAGCTAATTACGAGCTGACCCTTTCTTGAAACATTAAGAGTATTAAACGTTGTATTAAAATTAGGCCTTCCTTTGTCTTCCATTTTCAGATTCTCTCAATTTACCATCCTAATTTTATTAACGGTATATATTATT